CACAAATCGATAGGTCTTTCTTAAAAAATAGATGAAGTAGGAAAAAAGGGCGATATACATTCAATAACAGATTAATTTAGCGTAAACGAGCGACTTAAACGAATGTCCTTCATTTGCAAACAAACTAATTTTTGGCCAGGTCCATTTGCTGGTAGTGAAGAGACCGCGAAGAGCGTCAAAACACTTGAAACAAAAATAAAAGGGTTCATTGAGGCACTGAAAAATTTCTTGCATAGACAGACTACTCATCCGCCTAAAATTATTTTGATTACCTCAGCAGCCAAAACCATCAACCAAAACCTTTCATCCTAAATTCGCAAACATCTCATCGGAATCTGTCAATTTTGTCAAGTATTGTTGTGATGCAATATAATGGTGGGCTGATTTGAAGTTTAAACAAAAGATGACAAAACACTTAAAAACCCTGTTTATCAATTGCTGTTTGAGGATAGGTCTTCTTTTTATAATAAAGACACCGAAAAAAGTATTGAGCAAGAAACGGAACAAAACGCCCATACTGCAATAGTTTCCCAATAGATAATGCTTAAATGAACCCACATTAGACTACTGGTAACGTCCATAAAATTTTGCTGCTAGAGTTGCGGCGGGGAAACATAAACTTTGTTGCACTAGCTTGGTAACAAAGCTGCCCATGATATTGTAATCCGCTTTCTATCCAAATGTATCCGGCCGCATTCATTCGCATGTTTCAGCCGCTATTTTCTCTAGCATATTCCTGACTGTGGCTTAAGAGAGCTCAGTGGATAAGGCTCCAGCTTACGGACCAGAAGGTTTGTGGTTCAAGCCTATCCTCAGCATCTCAACCGTTCCAGCCTAGACTCGGGCAAATCGCAGTATCCCAGCCATCGTGTCTCCTTTCTCTGGCATAGCTTAAGTCGTAGAAGGGGTGCTGCAGCTGATCGATTATCTTTTTTATCTTCTTAAAAATCATACAAACCAAGATATGTATATTTAGAACAGTCTATAAAAAACAATAGCTTATCCAAAAAAACTAAAGGTAATAACCACATGCACTCTAAACTGGATTAATCAGTTTAGTTGTTAGACAAGCAATCAAATAGTGCCTGATAAATAACAATCTACCGTAGATTTCGATGACCGCACAAATTTATGCCCAGGTGCAAGAAGTTGGGAGTGCTCACAGACTTGCTACGGAAATGGGCATCACCATATGATTCCAAAGATATGCTGAAAACCACACAGCGCAAATGGCCTGTTGTCTCAGAAGGTCATTTCAGGTCTTAAACTGGTTCACTCCTTTCAGGACGCTAGAAACATACACCAGGGCTCACATAATCTATGGTTTAAATACCTCTATCAGACCATCATCTTCATCATCATTATTGTCAGCTGTAAGAACCGCATACTTGTTGTGCAGCGGTTGTAATCACCACAGTTTCTTCCACCGATGATTTGGGGAGGTGAGGTAGATAGCTGGCGAAACTGATAGATTACTGCTTAAATACAGCACTGTCAGTAGACTATCCATTGGGGGAAGTTGGAAGGGATCTATTCAATACCAGTTTTGGGTTTTTCGGGGTGGGTTACTGCTTAGTGGAAGTCTACTCTCCGGGTTAGAAAGCTGCTTATCGTTTAGACTTTCAAAAATTCATCAGTAAAACAAATTCATTTCCAAAACCGTATTATTAAATAATTATGCCAGCACGGATCGTCTGGCCGTGGAGTGTGAAAAAGACATTATAATAAGAAGTAGCAGTTTTTCATCTGTGGCATGTTCATGTATGTGCTGGCTCTGTCCGAATTTGACGCCACTCGATTCTGTTGTTGAACATGCGATCTAACTTAAATAGAATTACCTGCAACGTTAACCATATTATTTCTTTGTTTTAAAGCTTTTTTGCATGCCTCGGTTGTTCAGACAAAGTTATAGAAAGATCACTGCACTGGTGCTGCGTCTGAGAGCTTTATTTAGTTCCTCAACTGTTTTAACCACGATATTTTTCATTATCGTGCAATATGAAATCTTATCATACCCAGCAAATTCACCATTTAAGTTAATACAGTTAGAAAAGGCAAGTTATTATTTGCCTTTAAGTACTGTTTTAAGTCACAACATTATAAAATGTGCCCTTCCAAACTCATTCTCAACCATTAGGTTTTTCCATATGTTAGGCATCCTTCCAAAATATTTGATGATTTACAGATATTTAAAGGGTTATGTTTGAAGGTTATGTGTGAAAACCCCTGATAAAACCCGTATTACACTTTTCAGAAGTGCGGCGTGCATTAAACGCTTCGGACCACTTATTTTATTGTAAACAAAGATTAGCCTCATAGGGATTTCTGGGCATCTCATTGAATACTTGTTTCGGGGCGGTTGGCGGGTAAACGTTGTTAAACATAGGTTTTGAAGCCATCTTTCAATTCGATAGTGCTCATCATATCGCAGAGCCCGCTTTTTCTAATATACTGAATTGATTTCAATCCCTAAAATGTCTAGCCATATACTGTGACTTTTATATCGTCCATATGAACAACTTTGTGAACTGCAACATGTGTTCCATGTATTGTTCATGATTTGAAATATCCTTAAAAACAAGCTAACCGCTTTTTAGAAGCGTAAAATGGTTCCAGAAAGTAGAGGGGAAACAGGTAACATGTGTAAACTCTGTCCATTGTTGGCACTGCACATAGAAGCCGTACGTGAAGGCAAGTAAAAAGTACAGTAATTGACACTAACAGGCCTCTAAGCGATCTCCGAATTTGCGGCAGTATGCCATAAGGGTCAATCTAGCACACGCCTGAATTTACGAACCATGGATACTTGAGCTATTTCGGCCAATAAGTTGTCCAGTAGGTTTTGTGTCCTCTCCCGATGTGAAGCCCTATTTCTCCATTTTATCCTGGTGTTCTCCAATATGACTTATACCTCCGATTGGAAAGGTTGCGTCTATCGATGTCAGTCCCGAAAAACAGGCCGCAGTGCGCACGAAAGTCACCTTCATAAATTTAATTCTATGGTCTCTAGTGGACGTGTTTATAATATAAAATGCACTGCAATACGGTAATAGTATGATAATTTATTTGCTGGCTTTGTTCAAGCTTACGTCATTCCCTATTTCTGCCTGAAAAGTAGGCTTTCAAAGAAATCAATGTTGTATGGCAGAGGAAAGTCAGTTTGAGCAATGAACTCCTGCTGTTGGTGATGGTAACGATGAAACTGGTACAATTAGCTTGTGGATATAACTTCCATGAAGAACCCTTCGCGTGAACCAGGAACAAACGCGTGAAAAGCCAGAAAAACGTCTCAACTTTGTTAAGCACCAGCGCCACATGCCGGAGGGAAAAGCGACATAAACAGCATTATGGTCTTCAGCCAACCTATCTAAAAGACAGCAGGGTGTTGGCGTAAAACATTCAGGTTGATTAAAATAGTCCAGAAGCAAGTTGTCACATGTGTTCCAACCCATGAAATTGAGAAACAATTTTACCCTTTTTTCCTTATACTGGTTGATTCACATAAAATGAAATGGGTGTATGCAACCGGGGCACCCCACCCAGGTTTAATCTCAGCAGTGAAGATTATGTTGATGATAACAAGAGAGATGATGGAGGACAAGTGTGTTAACAAGAACCCACGATTTACCTACAACCTGATATCTCTGATCGTATTTTTTCTTATGGAGGTAGTGTTTATAGGTGGTAAGCTGTCACATCATGCCACCATAAATATTACATCTGGAGAGGTCAAATCAAGGGTTACGAAAGCCACAAAGTGCCCATTATCTTCGACTGCCCTGCATATCAGGATTCAATATTTTGTGGGTGGCGTGAAATTTGACGAACCTATAACTGAAACTTGGCTTCGTTCAACGCAAACCAAAGTCCAAGTGCATATCAGCGTCTCATTGCAGTTCTTGTTTGTCTGTTGGAGTTGCAAAATCTTCAAGTGTCCTAGCAGCGATATCAAAATTACAAACGATTTCGATTCAACGCGTACAGATATTATTTACACACACCTTGCACACTATTTGTCACTGACTGACCAACGAAGAACCATACTACTGATATTAGAAAGTTTTAAATGCGCTCCCACTCTGATAATAAAGTTCTGAATGAAAAGTAAGCCTTGAGTCCGCCATCGCTGAGGAATGGATCACCATGAACTTTCGATAGGTGGGTAAGTAAAGAAAAGTTGATAATTTAAATTGCCCTGTTAGTCGTGTATGAGAGATTTGGATCGAGTCCGATAGGGATCACACATTTTCAGCTGCAGAAAAAAGGTTTTGTTGGTCGGATGGTAATTAGCACGTGTTTTTGCAGGAGAGGGATACTGGCTTTTATACGGGACTATATAAAAATGTGAAGGGGTGACTAGGATCATCTCCAATTCTAAGCCTGAAATTCAGGCAAGTGCCGTTAAAGCACGTCATACATTTTCAACCAAGGCCGTTAATACATCACTGTTAGGAAGTGATTTCAAAAATTCGATGCATTGGTAAAAGGGTAGAACGCGGATGATGCTACAAACATAACCTCAAAAAGTATGAAAACGATGCAGTTCATGAGTTTGGGAAGGCAGAAATACATGCAATCGTTCATTTTTCCGTGAACAAGGTCGCAACGTTGACCACATGCTCTTCTGTTGAGACAGAGGCAGTTACAACGATCGCTTGTATAGTTTCGGAAGCCATTACGAGCGTGCCTCACCTAAGTGCCAAACAGTAATATACATCGGGTTAAACAGTATAATTGTGGAATGAGCAACTTTCTCTGACAAAAGTTTACTATAAAAAGAAGAAAACAGAGGAATTTTGTACAAAATTGAAAATCGGAAGGTTGTGGTTCAAAATTCCCTCTCCCACTCTTCCTAAACTCTCACCGCCCATGATCTCACGTGGCGGATCTCTGTACCTGGTCGGAGAATCATGTAACCAAAGAAAACTTATGCTTCCCAGAATGCGTCGCAAAAGGATCATGCAAAAAACTGTGCGAAAGATTATAACTTTTACACTTACTGGACAGATAGTTTTCGCATTCTGTTTTAAGCTCGTTGGTGTCATGTGTTACGGCTGGATCAACGATACGTAGTTTATTCAGATCATCAATATAGAGTCCTGCTTCTTGGAGTTTGTCGGTCATGCTCGCCTTCCTGAAAGAGCGCCGTTTTCAGTTCAACCATGACAGCATAGAGTAAAACACACCTTAGGATGAAATTGCAGACTAGCATAAATCGATGGCTCCAATAGGCCCAGCAAGTGTTCACATGAGTACAAAACAAAAGGCTCATAGACCCTGATGGTTGTTTGAAGATTCTGCGGATAGATCTGACGGGAGTAACTGCAACTAGAATAGGGGCCCAAAAGCACAAAACATTTACGTTTGGAGTAAAACATTTTGCGCCAAAATGTTGCGTTTTGTTGCGTATGTGCTCAAACCAAAGGCCATCCTAATCTATGCTCATATTTTTGCAGGTCATCAAGTTTTATTGTCCACTGAAGCAATCACGCCTCTGGCGGAAAGTCTGATGGAATAATTTCCCAGCATTGCCGAGACTTGGGGTGCCTAAATGGGGTTAAAAATTGGACTGGTACTCTGAACTCAGTTTCTCTATTGCTTTATTTCGTCAGAAACACATCACAGCTTTTGGAATTTCAACCTCATTGAGAGAATACTGATAGTCATAGACTAGAGTTACTCCCGTCGCATGCGCCGCACATTGGAGGTACAGTGGTTGTATCCACAAAACAGTTGCGCTTGGAATGCAAACTTTTACGCCGAAATGTTGCATTTTTTGCACATGTACTGAACCCCAAAAGCCAATCCTACATACTTTCATCTTGACGCGATCCTTCTTCCGAATTTTTTGGCGCGCATTCAACTTTGAACTTTCTGCGCTATGACGGGGGCCGCTGGCTATTCGCGCGCTCAAACTGATTTCGCAGAAACTATAGGATGTTCGAAATTTTGAATTTAGTGAGGAGTTATTCTGATCAATTTGACCTTTCAGTAATATTTTGCATGCAACATTTTGTTTGGGTGTGCGAAATTTCAAGGTCATAAACCATCCCCGATTTGCAATTTCTTGCCGGTTTGCGCGACAAAACACAAAATCGCACTTCAGCGCATTTTGGCGTTCATCGCTGTCCCTAGATGAAAGAAATCCTAAGGTTATTTAACGCAATTTCCACTATAGAAAATTGGTCGTAGAAGCTTGTTTGCCTCACGACACTCAGAATCAACAAATGAGATGATTTTGTTCGGTAAACCTGTTCTCAACACATTTTCCTCATTGATCTCATATTCTATTAAGTACATTAAAGTTAGACAACAGCATGAACGTTTCAGGGCAGTGAGGGGACCATCTGTGGATGATCCCCTTCCCCAATATGCATAGATTGATCTATTATTCTATTAAGTACATTAAAGTTAGACAACAGCATGAACGTTTCAGGGCAGTGAGGGGACCATCTGTGGATGATCCCCTTCCCCAAATATGCATAGCCAGGTTTTAGATAGTGCAGCGTCAAGAGAGCGGTGAACGTCATTACTATTATGGCTATGACGTTCTATGGGTGGTGACAACTATAAAGCAATCGCGATGATGACGGTAACCGCTGACTCTCAAATAGACTACTTATCGTAACCGCTGGGTCCGTGTCTGTGTGGGACGCTGAATATGGGGCCCTCTCATGCGCGGCAGCCCAATCCAATGAGCAACGACGGTTCATTGTACTCGTATCTCTACTCGTTTTCACTCATCTCGAGTACATGTTATGACTGCTAGGCCCGCGTCTATGTGCAACATTGATAATGAGACAGCACCTATGCACAGTAACATAATTCGATGGCCAATGACGATCTTTCGTACCCTTAACCATACGCGATGACGCTTATCCTCGCCAACCATAGATATATGCCGACCGGTAAAAATAAGGCCTCAGCTATATGAGATAGTCTAATCTGACGGTCCGTTATACTCATAACTGTACTCGAAGTCACCTAACTTGGCTACTGATCGTGCCTGTTTTGTCCGTGTCTTGGTGCACACATACCATAGGTGTCTCAACTCGGCAGACGCGACCCGACCACTGCAGGTGCGAGCATTGATTTCATCTGTCACACTACAATTAGAACTAATAGAATTGCGAGTATATGTAAAACACTGCACCACACTACCTCTCCAACCGGATCAGAAGAAACCTGCGATCTTACATAGGGTTTGTTCTACCTCAGAGGATTTCCTCGGCCAACCAAAAATGCCCTCCTCCTCACAGAATTGCACATCCAAGTCAACTCATCTAGAAAATGGCGTCCGTTACGGGGCTGTTCAGAAACCGAGGTATTTCAGTGCAATGATGTCATGGCACTGCTATACCTAGTTTAATAGCACACCCGCAACTACGCACCTCTCTCCCTTTACTTTAACTTATCGCCCACTTGTTTCAATACATGCAACTACGAATGTACTCTTCTGATCATGCATAATGGCACGCCACTAACATGCCGGGATGAACAACCTTATGATAACGTGACACCGTGGGTACAAAGTACACACCAAATTACAATATACCTATAATCATCACTGATAGAAGAGCAAGAGATGGTAACAGTGGCTCACTAAATACGCATGATATGACGCCTCAGACGTAACTGGTTTTGCAAGGCAGCACGCTTTTCTTTCAGCTGTGACAGTTCCACTCCGAAGCCAACGCATCGTACAAACAGGCAGCAACACCAGATATCTCTGATCTCATGTCTCTGCAAGTTCTTAGGTACCTCAGTTGCGTACAGTCTAGTCAACGCAACTCCCTCTTATTCACATACGCTAGCTCCAGTTTGCATCGATCGCATACCTGAATATCGATCATTGCTTTCAAACCGGGCAGTTTCGTACCGCTGATGCCGTTAGGAATTGTGATGGCTTTCGACTGCCTGTTTTTTTTCGGGATGCATTCTAACTAATATCAAAGTGCTTTCTAGCAAAATTTTCGGATATTTGTCCCATATTGAGTCTCAAATATAGGCATGGCCGTCTTATTACCTTGCTTGGATTGCAGCAATGAACCACCACGAACCATCGATGGACCCAAGAATATCCTAACTACAATGACCATAAACGGCTCCTTCAAGATGTTCATGTACGAGGTTATCCACGAACTGAAGTACGGCGTCGCGATGACGGTACCGCGACTGCCATACCCAATCTGATGACTTGCCCGAAGTTCACTATATCCCTAATATAATTTCCTCATTTATTTTTGAACAGCTTGGTCACAAACATAAAAAGTGAATGCACGTGAGGAATGCCAAAGCATAACACAAGCATATGATGGAAAAGAGAGGAACGTCTCATTCGAATTCGTGCCACCAACAGTTCCAGTCAAATGAGATGAATCCCAACGTATGTAAAAACTTTGATATGGAAACACGCGTCTAAAGACTGAGAACCGAAGAAAGGACAAAGATGTTGAATGCTCTTCAAGGCGCGGTAAGCGCTTGCACAATCAAGACTCACACATCGGGCACAAGACCCGAGCGTTAACCACAAGACCTGTTCAGTTTATTTAATTAGTGTAAGGACTTGAAGGTGGTCGGCATATTTATGTGCCGTCTGCTAGTTCCGCTTACAAATCCATTCGTTCGCCCAACGGCACTGTTGGTGGCACGGTAAAGGTGAAGCCAAACCCTACCTTAAGCCAGATCTAACGTATGCTAACCATCATAAAAAAACAAAACTTATTAGCTAGGACGAATTCCTTGGCATCGGCGGCCCGCTTGCTGCAACCATAGCAGACTTTTAATATCCAGGTCGCGAATGGTTTCTACAGTCTCGGTTTGCGGCGATGTTACAGGCGTGCTTTTTGTCTACGTCTTTTTGAGATTATTTCCAAGTCCAAGGCGTAAGAAACCACGCGAAGAAACGAGCTTTTCCACAGCATTTTCCACCATTTTTACTCAGACAATGTCCCAACCACCAACAACAACTTAAACACAACCTCTGCGCCAATGTGCACTCCGAGTTCGTCTAAGCAACTTTTAATAGAACTGCCGCCGCAAGGGGAGAGCCTAAGGGCCCCGATGATCACCATCAAATGTTAAAACATTATGTTAAAGTCTTTCTTTTCCGAACCGCGGTTTCAGAGAAATTCTAGGTGGGCGCCTAGGAGGTGGCATATCGGGAGCCGCGTCCTAGACGCACACCCTAAGTTTCTTTGAAATCGTGGCCCGAAAAATGGAAACTTGCATGAAGTTGTCGCATTTGATGTTAATCATTCGGGCCGTTGGGATCTTCCTTAACGGCCGCATGGTTTTTGACGTTTTTAAACCTACTTAATTCTCACTATTGGCGCGATATTTATATTTTTAATGGCTGCTATGACTGAGCACGTCTTGTCCATGAATGCGGAGGTTGATTTTGTTTTTCTTCTGTCAACGCATTTCAAGTCGTTTTAAGAGGGTACATGGCAAAACATTTCGGAGTTTTCGTCCGCATAAATTCCAAAGAGTGGCAATTTGCTTCTTCTGTATGAAAAAGCCTTCTGCCATCGCAGCACACGTCTCTCCAGTTAGTAAGTGTGTGGTTACTTGTGTGTCCTTGGTGGTACACATCATACTGGTTGTCCGGCAAGATTCCATGTTCGCCGGTACCATGACCGCCTGAGGGTCACTTCCTACTATCTGAGGCACAGCCATTCACGCAGCAAGTTTTTTGACGGGCTCTCTTCGTCAACCGGCGCCTGACAAACCATAAATTGAAGGAGTGTGGTACCCTTTTGAAGCATAGTGCTCTGTCATCGGAGGTTGGGTAGCACGTCGCCGACCATTTTGGAAAGGTACTCACTATCAAGGATGTCAATGGTTGTCGCGTCAAATGTCGACTACATCATTGATTAGGTCGGCGGTTACCTTTTATTCGGTTTTTTAAATGACATGACATCCATCACAGCTAAATTTGGAAAGCGTGTTTGCGTACTGCTAGTGGAATCAGAGGGTGGCAATTTTATTCACCTGTGCTTTTGCCGAACGATTCGGATAGCACTCTTTCGACGTTTACCGGACGTTGTAATTGTTGGTGCTACGCACGGGACCAACTGTCTTGGCTAAATAAATTTGGAGCCCCTAACGTTCACTGTTAAGATACAAGC